TGTTTAATGGTATGGTGAAGGGATTACAATTGAGCTTTTCTTTTTTTTAACCTTAAATCCCCTCTAGAAGGTACTGTCGCTGGTAGATTTACATCCAGGAGCCGCCTAGTACAACCACAGCAATGTAATAATGGCTGCCACAAACCCAGTCTCACAGCACCATGTATAATAGCTATGTCAGTCTGCAAAACAAAATGCACTAGTGTCACAGAAACATCAAAAAATTGTGGCATGGCAACATCTTTCTGGCATCAAATGAAAGAAAATGGTTAAGGTTAGAAAAAGACCCTGGGTTCAGTTAAATTCAGTCATCAGTACAACCCTGCACAACTGTCTGCATTAGAATCAGGTATCTGATAGATACATTTGTCAGCCACAACCAACACCTTCTTATGTTTTTAACTTTCTATAGCTCAAAACTGTTTGACTTCCCAATCCACTCTACAGTTTGCTAGCCGCCATAAGATTCCAAGAAGAAGAATATCACAATGACACTGTACTGCAATATAAAATAAAATTGTTGGTAGTTCACAATTTTATAGCTCTTATTGTGACATTACTACGTGTCATGCTGTGGACCAATGTAGCTATTGTGCATTTCCTTGTGAGACTGGGCTGTGGCTACCGAGCACCTCCACTGATTCAGTTTAAGGAATGCAGTGAGATTTTAGGATGCTGGAATCTTGCGGAACATAGGCTGTGTTTCCACTATCGGAACCTAACAAGTGGTATAACCTATACTTCCTTTAACTTCAGCAGAAGGTGGTAAATAAAAAAACAGCTCCAAGTTCTACACCATCCGTCCATTCATTATCTATACCACCTTTCCTGTAGAGGCCTGGGGTGGGGGCCAATCTCAGGTGACATGTGGTGAGAGGCACAGTACACCCTAGACTGTTTGCCAGTCTATCACAGGGCTGACACGATGACAGACAGCCACTAACAGACACATTCACACCTACAGGCAATTTAGAGATGCCACTCAACCCAACATGCACATCTTTGAAGTGTGGAAGTGCCCAGAGAAACCCCCATGCAGGCACAGGGAGGACATGCACACCACACACACTAAAGCCCCAATAGACCACAAGGTTTGAGCCCGAATTTTCTTGTTGTGAGGCAGTAATGCTAACCACTGCACCACCGTGCTACTTCTAGATTGACATAAAAACTCTCCAAAGCAGGCTGTGTGTGTGTGTGTGTTTGATGGAGAGGCAAACTTCATCCAAGTTCTCCTCTGACATTACCCAAGCAATCACCTCTCCTCTGTGTGTGCATGAGAGCACGCACATGTTAGCTCTCATTCAGATAATGAGAA